CTCTCCCTCTCCTTCTTTGTCACTCTTACTCTCCCTCCCTCCCTCCCTCCCTCCACATTGCCAAGCTGCTCTGGAACTCCTGAGCTCACGTGATCTTTTAGCTTCAGCCTCCCAAGTTTCTGGGACTACCAGTACACACCACTGTGCCCAGCTTTACACGATGACATTCTTAATCTACCCAATCAACTAGCCCTGATATTTATCCTACTTTTGCACTTACCCTCATGTTAGATAATAAATTTCCTTCCTTTATTTACTTAAGTCAGCTTGCAGTGAGATTTTTCTGTTATTGTATCCAGGGCATCTAAAGAGCTAACGTGCTAAGTGCTTTAATATCTTTTTTATCCAGTAACTCCATGTGATAAATATGATTTTTATTCTGTTTTGCAGATGAGGAAACTGACACTTGCTCCAAGTTATGTAATTGGTAGAACCATAATTTCAGCACAATAAATTCACGGCACATCCTGCTTTCTATAACTGAAACTAATGTTCAATTTTATAGTATCATTAGGTGACTTAAGAGTGGAAAATGTACTTCTTGGTTTTAATTGGCTTTGACTAAAATTTTTTTTTTCCTTACGATGCTGTTGATTAGGACAAAGAATGATGGGAGAAAAACAGGTTCTTAGTAACAGAAGGAAAGGCAACTTATGATTTAAAGTGCTCGACAATCTATGAAGCAGATAAATAAAGCAAGTCAGTTTATATAATTATACCTTAACTAAATGCACAAAGAACAGAAACAGAAAACTGGCCTGACTCTATCACCTTATCAGTGAATTTGTAGGGTAGAAGGAGGAAGGCAGCGTTAATTTCTGAGATGTACTCTCAGCTAAGTGTGCTTGTGTTCTGATCTCGGCTCTACCACTCACGATCTCAAAGTAAATCAAACTTCACTTCTGCGATCAGTCTCCTCATCTGTAAAACAGGAATAAAATAGTACTTCCACCTCATAGGATTGTTGTGATGATCAAAGGAGATCAAATACATGTAAAACACTTTGAAAGTAGTGCCTGTTAGCTGTGGTTATTACCATCATGATCATCATGATTTGAAAAAGCAGATGCTCTTTTCATCTTTTGTTTTTTGTTTTTTTGAGACAGGGTCTCACTATGTAGTTGAGACTGACCTGGAACTCACTATGTAGCCCAGGCTGGTCTCGAACTTACAGTGATCCTCCTGCCTCAGCCTCCTGAGTGCTGGGATTACAGGCATGCGCCACCACACTCGGCCCAGATGTTCTTTTTAAAGAAAGTAAATAAATGATCCTCCCAATTCCTAAAAGGAAAAAAGACGACATGATAAAAGGGCTTTCTATTAATAAGACAAAGCAACAGAAGGAAGAGACAAGTAACAATAAAAACAGTGGCACATACTCTTGTCTGGTTCACACCTGAGGCAAGAGAATCCCAAGTCTGAGTTCAGTCTAAGAAATTTAGAAACTTAGAGACTCTGTCTCAAAATAAAAAAGATAAAAAGAACTAGGGATGTAGCTCAACGGAAGAATGTTCCTGGGTTTAATCTCCGGTACTGAAAAAAGAGACGCAAACATTGCTCAATCAACCAAACAACAATGACAACAAAATAACAACCCAGTTCTCAAAAGCTCCCTCTCTCTCACCACATGATGACGAGTCACCTTACTAGCAAGAAATATATCAGATGTGGTTCCCTTAACCTCTGGCTGGAATCATGAGTCAATAATCAATCATGAGACAGGGCGTGGTAGTACACGTTTGTAATCCCAGCACTCAGGAGGCTGAGGCAGGAGGATCGCTGTGAGTTCAAAACCAGCCTGGACTACATAGTGCAGGTCAGTCTCAACCACATAGTGAGACCCCCATCTCAAAAAACAAACAAACAAAAAAAATCAATCATGAGTCTTTACTGCATCTCAATATATATAGATATATATCTATATATCTATATATATATTCAGCCACAAAAAAAATGTAATCATGTCATTTGGAGGAAAATGGATGGAATGTGAGACCATACGTTAAGTGAAAGAAATCAGGCACAGATAGCTAAATATCGTATCTAGGCATGGTGGGACATGCCTGCAACCCTAGCACTTTCAGAGGCTGAGGCAGGAGGATCACAAGTTCAAGCACAGCCTGGGAATTTGGCAATTTAGTGAGAGCCTGTCTCAGAAAGGGGAGCGAGGTGGGATAGGCCCTGGTTCAATCCCCAGTACTGCAAAAATAAATTTTAAAAAATTAAAAAGTAATTAATTGATTAGTTAATTGATTAGATTTTAAAAGAACACTAAGGGACTAAAGTTTTAAACCAAAATCACCAAAAGCAAAATTGAAGCTGAGTAACTTGAATTTTTGAATAGCTCTAGAACTCCATAAATCTTGAATCAAAAAAGGCTTCGAGACACCCAAGAAATACAATGAACGAGACAAAACAACAAAAAATATAAACCCAGTCACAGAATTAGAGACTGAAAGAATTATAGAATCAAAGACTTGAAACATGGCACACATGATGCAGAAAACCGACAGAATAAACAGAAAGAACTGAGGTGTAGACAGAAAAGGAAATGAGAACTTACGCTCCTTAGCCAGTCCCCCGTCCTTCCCACCCCTTCCTCCCAGCTCCAGGTTACTTACATTGAAAGATGCCAGGGCCTCAGAGACGCTCTTCTCGATGAACTCGTCAGTGATCCTGCGGGAAGGGTGTTCGTTGAACACGGAGTTCATTAGTGCAATCTTTGCTGCACTCCTCCGGGCCTCAGCTTTTGTGGGGCAAAACTAGGGAGGGAGGAGAATGAGAGCATGTGTACATATGCGTCTGAGAGAGAGAGAGAGAGAGAGAGAGGGAGAGAGAGAGAGAGAGAGAGAGAGACGGAACAGTGGAAGGGAAACGCAAGAGATAGAAGGCATCTGGACACTTGTTGGATAAATCAGTTATGTTCAACACACTTTGTAAAGTTCTTTATTGTAAAATGGCTGGGATTTTTGGAAACACAGTCTTGATTCAACATCCTGAAGTCATTAAGGAACTGGAGACAGCCACAGCTCATACCAAAATTGAATGCAGAATGAGGAGGGCTGCTGAAGTCAGCACATAACCACTGGACATGAAAAATACCTCTGTTTAAACTGTCAACAGAATTAATTACCCCAAAGCCAGATTCTGGCCAGCTTGTTGGAAATCTGTGTCTTGTTCTCTTGTTCTGTGGACAGGCAAGGTTTTCTTTGGATTCCTGTACATAACCCAAGACTGGAACAAAGCCGCTCCAGCAGAGGAGGCCTCTGGTCTCCATCAGAGGCAGACATCCAGGTCTCAGACTGCAGGTTTAGCTGTGAACAGGCATTTTCCCCAGCAATGCAGTGGGCCAAAGCGGCTCTCCCTGAACAGGGTCTAAGTCTGAAGAAGACATTTATGGTCTCCCCCTGCCCCCTCCCCCCGCCAGTGGAAGCAAGTAAAAGAGGCAAGGAAAGCTGACCTGAGAAAAGAAAAAATTAAAATGTAACTCATGCTTTTATTTGTATCTGACATAGATGTCACAGACAAAGTCTAATTTTCAGAAGTCTTAAATTGTTCAAGATCCCTGGCCACCAAGCATTCCTTTATAATTCCTCTTCACTGGCTGCTTCACGGGCCTCTGTGCCCCTTGTCACTGTGGCTGTGGTTAGAGGAAAGGAAGAGAGTGATACTGCAATTTTTCAATGTTTCACTACTTAACCATCCTCACTATCAATGATACCTAATTTACTTTAACTTACAGCTCTCTCAGAGACAGCACATGGAGATTAACATATTCTTTGGAGCTTTACATATTTACCCTAAGCCCTTGTTTGTTTTGTTTTGGTACCGGGGATCGAACTCGGGACCCTCTGCTTGCGAGGCAGGTGGCAGAAAAACTGAGCTAAATCCCCAGCCCCTGTTTTGTTTTTTGAGACAGGGTCTCCCTACATAGTTCAGGCTGGCCTTGAACTCCCAGTGATCTTCCTGCCTCTGCCTGTGGAGTGCTGGGATCCCAGGCCTGCGCCACCAGGCCCTTAAACCCTTTTGCTTCTTCAGTTTCTCTGTTTCTGCTTCTGTTGCTAGCCTGCTGTCCACTCTGTAGTGCTGTTTCTGAAAAAGTCTCAGGTGAAGAAAACTACCAGGAAAAAGTTCACTTGCCAAAATGGATATAAGATATATAAGCTAGAAAAGGCCAAGATAGATAATTCTACTCTTTCAGAAAATAAATCAAATGACTAATGGCTCAATTATGGGCACCATCATCAAATTATTAGATCATTATTGAACATTATGATGAGGTGGGAAAAAGAAGGAAAGATCTTATTCTTTAATAAGAGAAGGTATACACATTAGTCATCCAGGGCATACATTTATTTCTCTGAAATGGGCAAGGTTCCAAGGAGAAACTTTTAGTCACCCGATGCAAAATGAAGATTCCTCGGGGCTATTTCCCTTTGAGGTAGAAGCTGAACTTCAGTGGCTCTCATTCGTGCAACAGAAACCCTAAGTGCCTACTATGTGCGGGGCTCTGAATTGGATGGTAGAGATTTAATATTGAACAAGATGGGACAAGGGGAAAAAATGAGAACCAAGACCTGGCATGTAAAGGTACAAGATCCCAGTAATGAATGTAACTGTACTGTCTACCTAGAATGTACCAATAAATTAAAGTTAAAAAAAATATTGAACAAGAAAGTAGACTCGGCGCGTATGAGGCACTGACCTCAAACCTCAGCACTTAAAAAACAGGTTGAATCTCCGCCTCCACACAGGCTAGTCCACTTGAAGAGACAGTCAGTTATGGTGAATTACAGTAAGTATTGCGAGAGGTTCGGGATACAGTACCAAGGAAGCACAAAGCAAGGAGGTCTAACTTGTCTAACAGTCACACAAACCATGTGGAAATCTGAACACATGTGTCTATTATCTTCCCTAAATTCTCTTTTTTTTGGGGGGGTACCGGGGGTCGAACTCGGGCCCGTGCGCTTGTAAGGAAGGTGACAGAGCCCCTGAGCCAAATCCCCAGCCCCTTCCCTAAATTCTTATTCAGACTCTAAGTTCACAGAAGGCTGATTGCCTTTTACAAAGTAAAAAAATATTTTATTTCAATATTTACACTAGTATCTAATAATTTCCCACTGCCCCATAATAGCAACTATTCTTATCATCTAAGTCTTTCATAGAATCGTAGAATGTTAATAATAGAAAAGACTTTAGAAGCAGCATAACCCAGGCCTGGGCACACAGTTCAGTGGTAGAGCACTTGCCCAGTATGTGCCCTGGGTATGTGCCCTGCAAACAAACAGACAAACAAACAGAATGTAATCTATTTCCTTCATGTTACAGTATTCCCACCACACAGTCTCTTCCCTTTGATCTCTTAGCGAACTCAAACATTGCTTTCTTTATTAATTGCCTAGGAAACAATACTTGGGGACATGGACTATCGTTCTAGGCCCTTGAGAAGAGACAGCAGGCAGTTGGATGCAAGGACGGAAGCCACACCAGAACAAGGTAGTCTGAAGTACTAAGCAAGTGCGTACTCCCTGCGGTAGTCTGATACACTAAGCAAGGGCACATCCATAGCTGTGCAAATTCAAAGTGGGCTTGAGTTTGAACAGACTGAAAGAAAAGCATGCTTTCGTGAGCTAACGAGTTCTTTCATTGATCTCATGAGCCTCATACGCTGGCCAGAATGATTTTCCCAGAATTGGTTTAGGTCCTTGAATACATGATTTCAGCAGAGATTGAATGACCAAAGCAATAAAAAAAAAGTCCTTAGTAGTACCCAAGCTTTTATCTTTACTACTACTGTCTCACAACTCTTACCTGAAAACTCCCAAAGCAACTTCCCCCAGGCAGGGTGACGTAGCAGACATAGGGGGGGCTGTTGGAAGGAACCATCTCATAAACCACCAGAGCCCCGTTCTTCAAGTCGGCTCCACGAGACTGCTTCATCTGCCAGAATTCCTGCAGTGCCTCCACCACATTCACTACAAGAAGAGGAACAGGTAAGTTCCGCAACATGAACACCTGTACGTGGCACTGTACCTGTAATCTACGCTTACAGTGAGAGTCCTTAACTTCTTATCTGTCATTATTTACAAACATTTAAATTAATAAACCCAGATTGACATCAAGTTAACTTTGTAGGAAGATCAGAGTATCCACACCCCCCTCCCCAGTTACCAGTTACACTTTGATTAGTCCTAGACACCAAAGAAGAATTTAAATATCGGTGACACAGTTTCCAAGGTCGACAGATCATTATCACAGCCTAATGAAGTAGATTATTCCCTGGTTTGTCTGACCTAGGACAATAATCTATAACAATAAGGCCAGGTGTGGTGGCTCACGCCTGTAATCCCAGCACTTGGGAGGCTGAGGCAGGAGGATTACTATGAGTTCGAGACCAGCCTGGGCTACATAGTGAGTTCCAGGTCAGTCTCAAGTACATAGTGAGACCCTGTCTCAAAAAACCAACAACAACAACAAAAAAATATATAACAATAAGTGCTAACACTTACTGGGCCGGGGATTTAGTTCAGTGGTTTCACTGCCTGCCTCGCAAGCCCAAGGACCCAGGTTCGATCCCTGGTACCGAAAAAAACCTTATTGAATATGTACTGTTTTCAAGCATTTCCCTAAGTGTTTCAGCCATTTGAAAATAAACTTTACCACGTGTGGTGGTGCACATCTGTAATCCCAGCACTCAGGAGGCTGAGGCAGGAGGATCGCTGTGAGTTTGACACCAGCCTAGGCTACACAGTGAGTTCAAGGCCTACATAGTGAGTTCAAGGCCAGCCTGAACTATATAGGGAGACCCTGTCTTAAAAAAATAAAAGAAGGAGAAAAGAAACATAATGCAGGTACTTTTGTTATCCTCATTCTATAGATGAGGGAAATGAGACAAAAAGACATTAACTAATTTGTCAAGGCTATAGAAAATAGAAGAATAAGTGAGCCGGGGATTTAGCTCAGTGGTTCCTTTGCTTTCCTTGCAAGTGCAAGGTGCTGAGTTTGATCCCCCATATCAAAAGAAAAAGAAAAAGAAAAGAAAAGAAAGAAAGAAAATAGCAGAATAAGTATCAAACTCACATGGTCTCAGTTCCATAGCCAACATTCCTAAACCATAGGTTATACTGCTGCTTAAGGAATACTGGCACTATTACAGCACCTTTAGCCTTCCTAAAACTTATTTTTCTAGTGAACAAACCAAAGGCCAGACTCCCTTTACAGTCTGGAGTACTACGGGTATGATGATGACGATGATGATGATGATGATGGTGATGTATGTGCGTGCGTGCGTGTGTGTGTGTGCGTGTGTATGTGTGTGTAGGGGCAGGACTGATGCTCTGCCAAGGTTTTGCCTGGGTATAAAGAATTGGGGACGAAGTGTATGTTGGGGAGCACTCCTCCACAGGTCTGCCCTGTTCCTTCACACCTTGCCGGGTATGGAAAGATTGCAAAGCCCAACTGCTCTTTTCTTGGCCCATTTGTCAGGACCGAAATGTGGAGGGATGAGATGATGCCTCCCTGTGGGACAAAGAACAGCCTGCTTCTGCTTCCTATAAAATGGCAGACAGGGGCCAGGGAAGTAGCTCAGTGATACCACGCCTACCTGGCAAGCACAAGGACCTGAGTTCAATGCCTGGTACTGAAAAAATAAAATGGCAGGTTCCCCACACTCAGTGTTTCTTATGATGTAACCCATGGCCTGTGCAAGCATCCACTGAGCCCTCTGCATCAGACTTGAGAGGCAAGGGGAGCATATGATGCTTGTGCTATTTGCTATGTCACAGTAATAAGTCTTTTATCTCTGACCCAGAGAGCTCTTGACTTGTCCTAGCATCCATGAAACAGTAACTGGCTAACTTATTACTTGTAAGTAGGGCAAAATCAACCTCCACGCCTGACACTGTATTTGATCATTCCACAAGTAAGTATCGAGTACCTACTCCGCGCTATACTATGTGCTGGGTTCTAGGCTACAAGAGTGAGCAAAAACATGCAGAGCTCCTTTTCTTAATGTAGCCTACAGGGTAAAGAATACCAAAATAACAACAAAATAATAATAGTAACAAACAAAATAATAACAAACCCTTACATACACATACCAACTCCCCATGATGAATGTAATCATTATGTACTATAAACATGAACTAATAAAAATTAAAATTCAAAAATCGGATGTAACATTTTAACTGTGATATTATTATAAAAGAGGAGCAGGTAGCAGGAAGAGGAGGAGTACCCGATCTAGGTAAGAAGGTCAAAGAAAGCTACTGAGAGGGGCTGAGGTGTGAGTGGGAATTCAGTAGCAAGAAGTGAGAGAACAGAGCGCTGAGCATGAGGAACAGCGGTACAAAGGCCGGGACAGCAGGGAATGTGGTGAGGAAAGGGACTACAGGAAGGCTAATGTGGCTACAACAAGAGAAAGTGGGGGAAGTACAATTCGAGACGAAGCTGCAAAAGGAGGCAGAGGCCAGGCTGAGTAGGGCCTTTATGCTAAGACCAGATGGGAAGCAAAACTGAAGGATCTGACAGACACAAGGATAAGATTAGTTTGCCTCTGGAAAGGATCATTTTGACTGTAGGGTTTCGTCTTTAAAGCTTCCTAAGAAATTAATAGCTGGGCATGGTGGCGCACACCTGTAATCCCAGTACTCGGGAGGCTGAGGCAGGAGGATCACTGTGAGTTCGAGACCAGCCTGGGCTACATAGTGAGTTCCAGTTCAGTCTCAACAACATAGTGAGACCCTGTCTCAAAAAATAAAAAAACAACAATAACAACAAAATAAGAAAGAAAAAGAAATTACCCCACATGTTCCCTGATAACCTGCAGTGCAAACTTTCTCCTACTCTGAATTCCAACATGTAACATTAGTTCAGGTCTGCCAAGAAGACACCAAGATGGGATAGATATGCAAGGGGTTTCTTAGAGAAGAAGTAGCAGCCAGGAAATGCCTCAGATCACAGTGAAGGTCGGGCACATGTGGAAGAGAGGGAAGGAAGGGAGGCTTAGATGAGTCGCACGCTGTAGTATAGTTTCAAAAAAATTTGGTCGAGCCATTGGAAGGCTTCATTACAAAGGAATTCCACTCCTCACCAGTATGTCCATGCATTGATATTCCATTGTGCTTAGGCACTGGCTGGTGGTAATTACCACAAACGTGGCCTCAGTACATATGGGGTGATGGACCTAGGAGGGGCAGCAGCTGAAGGTGTCAGTCAATTATGCTCCCCAAAGCAAGAGATCTGATCGGTGCATTTTCATTAAGCAAAAATTTGAGCCCTTAATTGGTGCACACCTCTAATCTAGTCATTAGGGATGCAAAAAATAACACACAGTCCCTGCCAGCAAGGTGTTCAAAATCTAGTGGCCAACAAGTTTTCTCATCTGCTCTGCAACTAAAACAAGGACCTTGTATACCAGCCAGAGTTTGAAAAGCAGCATAAGCTCTTTTCTAATGCCCTGTCTTTAGCTGACTTTTTAGACTGTTCATTCTTCTGTTGAAAGACAGCATGAAAAGGAAACACTCTTTCCCACCCTTGGTTTTGGCTAGGGCTCTCAAAGGTCACCACTGCCCAGAAAGCTTAGCCGTCTCTGTCCTTTCCATGGAGGTCTTTTCAGCTCCAGTCCCCTCTCTCAGACAATCGGGCACAATGCCCTGGCGACAGCTCTCCTGACAGGCAAACCACAGGGAGAACAGTGAAATACAAGGGAAGGGAAGGACAGCACCTATTGAAAAGCACCTGCCCATTCCATAACCAGTTAAAGCCCTCTTGGCACAGAGTATAGGAATATTTTTTAATGATTACTCAAAACCAAAGAAAATGGGGCTCTCATTTCAGAAACATGAGCATGAAATGAGAAACCAGGGAAAATGATCAAGAGAAAAAGCAGTTAATTGTGATCTCTTGGAGCTGAAGGGAACTTCAGGTATCATCTAGTCCAGCTTACACTAAGGAAGGGCAGATGACTTGCTCGAGATCACACAGCCGTGACAGACTTGGGGGATAAATCTAGATATCTTACAGCCAGTGTTCTTTCAAATCCAGGAATCTTAATCTTAATGCAGGGCCCAAGTTCTAATTCATGGTTGGGTTTCATGAGGGTTAACAATTTGCCCCCCCCAAAGATATAACAGATGTAAATATATATATATGTACTAAATACCCCCCAAAACAATTTGCCTTCAAACTGTTAAGTAAAATTATAAGTATGTATAGGGTCAAGGGTACCCACAGATTTTTAAATCAAATTTTCGGGAAGGAACTATGGACATAGTGAATATACATAAAGATAAATTAAAGGACATTGAGATGGAAGACATATACATTTGACAGATACAATTTCTTTCTGGAAGTCACAGACAGTCTTACCTGAAAGGGACAAGAAAGTGCTGAAACCATGATGTTGAACAACAACACAAAAGAGAATGCTTTGGCCTTTACCTTTACTATTAGGTGAATATTTAAGTGGAACGAGAGGTACAGATCATTTATCTAACAGAATGAAAACGTTAAAGTAACACATGGAGGCTAGGAGTGTATTTTAGTGGTAAAGCATATATTTAGCATGCTTGAAGCCCTGGGTTCAATTCCCAGCACCAAAAAACAAAAACAAAAATCAACACATGAAACTGAAGAAAAAAAAGTATGTCATAAGAATAAGGAAAGAGCTGGGTGTGGTGGCCCTTGTTTGTAATCCCAGCAGTTGGGAGGTTGAACAAGAGAATCAATGTGAGCTTGAGGCCAGCCTGTGCTACATAGTGAGTTCAGGGCCAGACTGAACTACATAGTGAGAAACCATGCCTCAAAAAAGAAAAAGACCCGATACCAAAAAAAAAAAAAAAAAAA